TTTTTTTTTACAAATCATCCCACGTCCTGTCGACAAGCACTTAAAATGTATTAAAGACACTATGATTTTCCTTTCGTGCCCTCAACCACACCAAACACAATTAAACATGAAAATTATGTACATCTATCGCATTTTTCATTGATCACAACACTTACTTTCCTTTAAATGTGTTGATAACACCCTTGATTCTCGTATCAAGCGCCCCCTTGATTTCTTCTTTTGATAACGTCTTTACCCACGTGGGAATAAATTGCTCCACACCCCAGACAACGTTATGTCCTCTGATCTTTTTGCTGTTATAAAAAATAATAATGTGTACATTATTGAATGAAGTTAACTGGGCTTTAGGAATACACTCTTGTCTCAACATCGGATGCAAGCTAGAAAACTGTTAAATGGGTTTTTAAAGACTGGGTTTTATAAAATCTAAATTTTTTAAAAACGCAGTTAAATATCTGTTAAAAGGAATGAGTCTTTTTTCATTCAAAATACATATTGGAATATCTTAAAATGCCCACTCACCCAAGGGACAACAGTTCTTCGATGGCAAGTTTTGGTCTCTCAGAGTTAATTGGATACTAGAATCAACGTATATAATTGCGTGAGAAATTAAAATACAATTTCAATCATTGAAATATTCGAGGATATATCTCATAAGTACTTGGATTTTTATTTTTTATTTTATTTTATTATTATTTTTTTTTTTTATTTATTTTTTTTTTTTTTTTGAGAATTAAGGATGTACGAATTATGTCCCTCGCTAGTATTTAAACAAGTGCATCAACAGCACAACACGTGAATATGCTTTCTCTCTCTCTCTCTCTCTCTTTCTTACTTGGTTCCTCTGCATCATCCTCCATTTTAATGCATTAGCTATTGTAGTCCATTCAAAGGTTTCTTCGACAAACTTGTGAAATTTCCTTTCGCTTGCAGCAACAATGGCGTCCGCACGGACAGTGCCCCCCATTGCGAACTCACTTCTGATTTGCGTTACCTGAAAGGCATTTAAATTTTAAATTTTTTGGTTCTCTGTGATTATACTACTGTGTGTAATTTGAACAGTGTATATCCTAAGCGCAGCGTTTATGCAACTGGTGTAAGAAATCTAAACTGCAATGTTTTATTTTAATCATAATAAATATCTGAACAACGAACTTACCTCCACTTCTATGTCATTCAGGCCATACTCATCCCCTACAGATAAACTACACAAAGAAAAAAAATAGATTTATAAATTGTGCAGTGGTTCTTTCAGTGAAATACATAAAAAAGATATTCTTATAAAAGATTTACGTTTTCAAAGTTAACATTTTATTATTTATAAAGTTGATAGTTACGCTTGTTGATGGTTTTCTGGTAATTAACACTCCGTATGAAAATGAAAGCAAAAAATCAAACTTCATTTGTACTCGATAGATAAATCTGCCTTCCGGATTTGTTCAATTCTTTGAAGTGCATTGATTTTCCAGTTGCCAGTCAGTTCTGGGATCCGCTGCAGAGATGCGCTGTCAAGGAGAAAAGACACTGACGGATCCGGATCCGAAAATGTAATTTCGGCCAGTTTAAAATCTGAAAATATGACACCATTTCATATCAAGACATTTTATTTATTTAGTTTTCCATAATAATATTATAAACTGCCATCCTGCTTCGACTTTCCCTCTTTTCATTTTCGCTAAAACAGGTAGTACTAGTAAACAAGTTTTAGTGGTACGGGTCCTTTTGTAAACATACCTTTTTCAGGTGCTCTAAAAGACCCTCCAACTTCTTTCCAGTCATCTGTGGACCTCATATAAGAACCTACGGCCACTTTCTTCCATTCTTGCGTGCCTAAATGAAATAAAGCACCGCTGCTTTAAATTAAACGTCTTTAAATATTTTGTCTCAAACAGACATATAATTGCGAATTCTTATTCTTAAGTGTTGGAAACTGACATAGCGACGTTTTTTATTTCACTCTAAAACAGATAATTACAAATCACATTAATTATTATTTTTATCCTCTATAGTCTGGATGACTGGTGCTATATTTTGGCCAAATTGCTCAAAATGTGGAAAAAGCATGAAACTTGGCACAAATGTTCTTTGGTCTATGCTGATCATTTTCAAGGCAGTGCCCAAAATTTCAAAGCGTTGCTTAGCAACCGTTGCTATGGAAGTGAATTTCCTTAGTGACAAGCTAATTGTCCAGTTTAAATGGTTTAGAAATGCTAATAACTATGTTTCAGGGCATCAGAACTATCACTAGACTATTTTAAGGCAATTAAAACCCAAATTAACCTTAGCCACGATTGCTAGGCAGCATATTACCTTAGCAACAAGCATTTAAAGTTGCGTTAGTCTATTAAGTAAGGCAGATCTATAATACTAGCTAAGAACTACACTTTTGAGCAAGATGTTCATACTTTTAATCCAGTAAGTTGAAACAATTGTGTGTTTACACACATCCGATCAAATACATTGCCAGTGCAGATACTTAAGGCAGCATGTTCAAAGTTAATAACCAGCCATTTCCATGCTTTTATCACCTTACAACTCTTTATAAAACTTTGCAATAGTTAAGACGTTAAATTCTGCCTTGTATGTGCAATATACAGTGCATTTTGCCCTTGCACATTGTCAGCCTCTACATCTGCACCTACATGCACACTGGAGCAACTCTGGGCAGGTCAATAGCTTCTGGGAAATGTGAATAGAAATTGACAAAATACAATGTGAAAAAACTTTTTAGAAAATATGGAACAAAATGACAAATATCTTGGAAATCTGGTCTCTGAGAAATCTTTCAATAATAGGAAAGTCAACAGTGGTTAAACCTTTAGTATTTCTCATCTTACGTAGTGCATGTGTAAACTCTCCTACCAGCCCCCCCCCCCCCCTCCCTCAATACTTAAAAATATGCATATCATATTTAATCAGGAATAGAAAAAGATACAAAATAAAATGAGCAAGCTTAAGGATGGCGTCTAATTACAAAAATGGACGGTAAAAGGTAACGCAAATAAAAATTTTACCAAGGCCCTAAACTTTACATGGCTTAAAAGACTTCTTTATGAAGAAAATAAGAGTAAGTGGAGAGCGTTTTTCTCGGCGAAATGTCAGGAATCGATAGTTACAAAAGGTGGATTAAAAATACTAAAAGCAACTTCTTATCCCTTTTGGCAAAGATTTTTGGTTCTTTGAGTGAAATTCAGGAAATTTTCAATTTAACCCCAGATGAAATCTTATCACAACCATTATGTCAAAACTCAAAAATTGAAAGAAAGTAAAAAACTATTTTTCCATAAAAGATGGTGTAAAAATGTTTTTTTTTTTTTTTTTTTTTTTTTTTTTTTTTTTTTTTTTTTTTTTTTACATCAATGATATTATAAATGACATTTGAAATCCCCTCTGTCTAGAGGAACTCAACAAAAAATCAACCTTAACTCTAACTTTCTGGGCTAATTCAGCATCCTAAAGAGCTTACCATATTAATGGCTATCTCTTTCCATGGAAGGAAATTACTCATAGCATTCCAAGAAATAATGGACTCAATTAAACAAGTTACCAAACCATCCAGATATTTTTTCGCAAAAATCCTCCAAAGCCATATAATATCACGAGATAAAGGTGTAGGTGAACGGCAGACATATTTAAAAAAAACTTGAGTACTGATAATTGGAAACTAACATTTAAGAAACGGATCACAAGAAAATGAAATTGCTCCAATTCAGAATAAATCATAGAATATTCAATACTTATGCTTATCTTATGAATTTGAGAATTTTGCAATACTGCTAGGGAAAATATTCTGTACGTTTTTCTTGATTCTCCACATGTAAAAAATATTTGGATGTGTATCATTTGCCCCGCTAAAGATAATTTAGGTGTGGTCATTGATAGATCTCCGGAGATATTTGTATTTGGGTTGGTGCAAGCATACACTATTTATGAACCTATCTTAATAATTAAGAAACATGTTAGTATATGTAGAATGGGAACAGAAAGATGGTAAGGAACTGGAGGGTATGTAAAATGCTACAGAGATATCTGTATATATTATTAAATATATATTATAAAATATATAATGTTAAATACTTGTTGCTAGGGTAATATGCTGCCTTGCAACTGTTGCAATGGTTTACTTGGGTTTTTAATGTCTTAAAATAGTATAGTGATAGTTCTGATGGTTTGAAACATTATTAAAAGCCTTTTTAAATCATTTAAACTGGACAAGAAAGGTCCAATTAGCTTGTTACTAAGGTAAATCACTTCCTAAGCAATGGTTGCTAAGCAACGCTTTGAAATTTTGGGCACTGCCCTTGAAAATGATCAGCATAGTCCAAAGAACATTTGTGCCAAGTTTCATGCTTCTTCCACCTTTTGTGCAATTTTTGCACCAGTCATCTAGACTACTAATCCCTTTTTCGTGTTCACAACAACACGTCTATCATGTCATGTCATGTCACTACCACCCACGCCACCTACCGTCCGAATACCTCACGTGGAGAGTGGCTGATATCCTGGTGTGGACCTCGCCCGGCTTGTCGTTCAACAACTTCACAAAGGATGTTATCTCATAAAAAGCCCCCTTGGTAAGACTGATGGACTGAGTTGGCCCGGAGTAGTCGTGCCGCCTATGATGCATGTCACACAGCACTATTTTGTCTTCAACTATGGTTTATGTCTTTTTATTTTTATTTATTTGAAAAATGCATAACTATATTTATTTTCATTCGGCTTATTCCTTTGTTAATCTGATTACAATATTATTTAATCTGTTAACTTGTTATCAGAGGGGACTGTTAAAAAAAAAGTATAAATGTTAAATATCCCGTAAATTTAGATAAGACTTCTATTCCTGACAAGGGTAATTTTAATTACAAGGATGCTGATCATATAGCATTGCCTCCGATGAAGAAGCTTAGATGGGCTGTTCCATTTTAGGGGATTGAATTCATCTAAGATAGGTCTGTGCTGAGCATTGTTACTGAAGTCACATAACTTAATTTTACCAAGACAAATCAAATAAAAGTTTCTTACGCCATTCCGTAGGCCTACCTTTTAGTAACTTTTCCACTGAACTTTCCAGTGTGTTTGATGGGAGATTGTTCCAATACACACTGTCGACATCGCCAATTATTGGCGAAATTATCACTTTCGATCCCGTTATTCTTGAACACCTCTTGTCCACAGAGCGATCCAGCCAGCACAGCTACAGTCCATATAAACAGGAGGCGTGGATCCATGTTCTTATACAATTAAGAAAAAAATCCCATCATCTGTGTTCTAAGCTCAAATTTATAATGTTACTGAGTAGGTTCTTCTAACAACAGTTATTAATATGACTTTGAGAAGAAAGGAAATAGTTATTTAAAAAGGATACTATTCATTTTTCATATTAGATAATAATGCGTATTACAGTAACATTACACACACTCGTTACTTAAAGAAATGGAAAAGAGCTCAAATGACAGATAACTAAAACCGTTTTCACTTAATTACAAATTTCCAACTCCTCACTTATTCCGATTTATTTTTCAAGACTTGTCACTTTAGTTACCCATAAAGATATGCTTCCTGGAATGAAGCCAGCAAATTTTTCAAAATTTTGAATCAACAATTTTAAGCACAGTGTATTATTACCAAAATATTTTAAATTTATAAATCATATTTTAGTTTTGAATTTAATGTGTGATTGGCGAAAAATCCTCTAGAAAGATTAGTTTCCAGTGTCCTCTGAAATTTAATACTTATTTCAAGATATACAGATTGTTCACGAAATTCACGCATGCCTTATTGTTGTCAAACGTGTTTCGGAATTTGTGGTCCATGCTCCCAATATAAGAAATAAGCAATCATTTTCGCGGAAACCACACAAAAATAAATCACATCATACATTCCAAGATACCCTGCAGCACGATTTGTTATTAAATTAACAAAAGCTCACCTTTCTCCGATGCGTCTAACCCTACCTAACCTGCTTGGTCTTAACATCAACCACCGTTAATGCAGCATATGAATGTTGTCACTTTATCTCAGAGTCATTATCTAGACCGTCTGTTACATCAGCCATAGGCTAGGGAACGCACACGTCTGTCACGTTTTCTGTGTTTCTATATAAAAATAGCAAACAATTGGGTTACCAATGGCGCGATGTATTTTGGGATATTGCATGTAAAAACCGCTAAGAAAACACATTTTACATTGAAGTACCCATGTGGTATCTGCATGATGCATTGCAATCTACTTTACTTGTCAGCCAATGGAGGTCTAGACCAGTAATATCATAGGTCACATTCAAAATAAGGGACTAACTAGTCCGAGGGTCGAATGTGGCCAACCCACTTAAATACTTCCCCACGGGATATCTATTCAGTGTCTATTAGCGGATTAGACGGCAAGCTTTGTAGTGGCTCGCCATATTTGATCCTAGGACTAGTTAGTCTTCTATTCTGAATGGGGTCATAGACCCTATCAGCTGTCAGCTATCAGCTGACTTGTCGTCATATGCATATACTTACATGGAACATATCAAAATGCCATCTAAATGCTTTGTTGTTCGTCCCACCAGACGAAAGTTTAAGAGTCCGAAAGTTCGCAGAAGAAACATTCTACTAAGGTCATTCTTCAACCGGGGGGGGGGGGGGGCAGTTGAAATGAACCAATATTCTTCTACGCACTAATTTATTACTTCATCTTTCCTTTGAGTGTTCAAACAGATTACTACTTCCAATCTATGTCAACATCCGATAAATATAAAGAGCGTATTTCCATCTACTACTTTACTTCTTCACGAACGAATAGATAACCAGTGGCGGATTTAGGGGGGTCAGGGGGGTCCTGACCACCCCCTTTGATTTCTAAAAAAAAAACACCAGTGGTCCCCATTTTAAATTAGAATTTTGAAGATTGCTGAATCGTAGTTTTAAACCGGACCAAATAGCACCGTTCATCCTCTAAAATACCAAAATTTTTAGAAAAAAGTTTTAATGGCTTATAATACAGTAGCAGTTGTTAAAAAGGGGATCGGCATATCCACTTGCTACGTTGCAATTCTCAAGAGTCGTTGAGTTTGTTCAATCACCTCCTGAATATTGCATTTCTGTATCTACTTCCGTTAATTTACTTATCTGGAACATAAAATGTCTTTTGTTAAAAACTTAAAGCGCAGATTCTAGTGAGGATAATCTTTTAGTAGAATAATGACTTTAAAATACACATTTTATTTCTTCGATACCCCCCCCACCA